TTTTTTTTTTTAAGTGTATTTATTTTGAGACAGAGTGCAAGCTCAGGAGGGCTAGAGAGAGAGATAACCTCAGGCAGGCCCTGCCTGCCAGCACAGAGCCCGACACGGGGCTCGAACCTACTACGCCGTGAGACCGTGACCTGGGCCGAAATCAAGATCCAGACGCTCAACCGACTGAGCCACCCAGGCTCCCCTCCAAGATTATTTTTAAGTTCTGTTTGTCTACACTGGGACCATTGTATGCTGACCCAGCAACATCCGATGGATTTAAATGCTGTAACGACTTTCTATTTAAAACTTTGTTTTTTTTAGAGTGGTTTTAGGGTCACAGCTAAATTGAGAGGAAGGTACAGAACTCTCCCACTTACCAGCTGCCCCACACACGCATCACCCTCCGCACTGGCGGTGCACCTGTCCCTGACGGCTGTTGACCCACATTGACAGGCCAGCACCATCCAGAGACCAGGTTCCGTGAGGCTCTCTCTAGGTAGCCGCGCACAGATGTGTGGCCCGGGCCCACCATTCCAGAGCCACACAGAATAGTCCCAGTGCCGTGTGTGCTCTGCCTGAAGCCTCCCACCCCGACAGCCACTGGTCTGTTACCGTCTCCATAGTTGGGCCTTTTCCAGAGTGTCACGGAGTCCGAGTGCTACAGTGTGAAGCCTTCCCAGACCGGCTCGTTCACTTGCTAACGCGTTTACGGTGCTTCCGCGTCTTTTCGTGGCTTCACAGCTCACTTCTTCTCAGCACTGAATAATCCACCGTCTAGACGGACCCCCGTTATTCACCCGTCCGGCTGCTGAAGGACAGTTATGGACAAAGCTGCTGTAAATATACATCTGCACATAAGGCTTCAGCTCCTTTGGGTAGATAGCAAGTGGCACGATTGCGGGGTCGCGTGGTGAGAACATTACTAGTCCTGTCACGAGTCTCGCCAACCTGTCTTGCAAGGCGGCTTCCCCGTCCCGCATTGCCGCCGGCAGGGCCTGGGGTTCCTGCTGCTCCGCCTCCTCGCCAGCATCCGCCGTGACGTGCTGTGGGCCGTGGCCCTTGCGACAGGCGCGTGGTGGCGTCCCCTTGCTGTTTTGTTCCACGTTTCCCGGAGGACACGCAACATGGAGCCTCGTGTCCGGTGCCTGTCTGCGCTCTGTGTCTTTCCCCTGCTGGGGTGTCGTTAGGTCTTCGGCTTGTTTCTTGCTTGCATTGTTCTCACGTTGGTGAGCGTTTGGAGTTCTTCGTGCATCTGGATAACAGTCCTTTATCAGATGTGCCTTCTGTGAACTGTCTCCCGGCCCGAGGCTTCGCCTTCTCAGTCTCTCGACGCTGCCTTTTGTGGAGCACGAGTGTTGAAGGTAATGACGTCCAGCCCATCAGTTACTTCTTCCGTGGGTCTTACCTTCGGTGTTGTGTCCAAAAGTCATCGCCACACCCAGGGTCCCCTAGGTTCTCTTCTGCGTTCTCTTCCAGGAGTCCTGTACTTTTTCATTCTTTGCCCAGTTTCACGTTTAGGTCTGTGATCTGTCTTGAGTTAGCTTTTGTGAAGGACGTAAAGTCTGTGTCTAGATTCTTTTCTCCCCCGGCACGTGCACGCCCACTCGTCCCAGTTCCGTTTATTGGAACGGAGCCTCTGTGCCCTGTTGGGTGACCTGGTCTGCGTCTGGGTCTCTGTCCTGGCCCATCGATCTATCTGTTCCTTCAACAGGACCACACTGTCTTCGCTACTCTGGCTTTATAGAAACTCTTAAAGTCAGAATGTGTCAGTTCTCCAACTTCGTTCTCCTTCAGTGTTGCGTTGGCTCCTCTGGGACTTTACATTCACTTAGTCAGTATCTGAAAAATGACCTGCTGGCATTTTTATTGTGATTGCCTTAAATCTATAGATCAAGTTGGGGAGAACTGACATCTTGACAATATTGAGCTTTCCTACCCTTGAACGTGAAATTCACATAATGGCTGTCCCATTTATTTTATTTTGTTCTTTTTTCTTTTGTTTATATACTACCTTTGGTTTAGTTTTTACTTCTTTTTCTTATTGTACTCAGTAGGACTTCCGGTACAATGTTGAAAAGGAGTGGCAATTTGGGATCTTAGTGGAAAAGCTTTGAGTTTCTCGCCATTAAGTATGACTTTAGCTCTGAGGTTTTTTTATAGATTTTCTTTACTGTGTTGAGGAGGTGCCCCTCTATTCCTAGTTTGCTGAGAATTTTTACCATGAATGGGTACCGGCGTTTGTCAAAATGCTATTTATGTGACCATATGATTTTCTTTTTCAGCCTATTGATGCTATGGATTACGTTAATTGATTTTGGAATATTGAACCATCTTGCATTTGGGCTTCATGCATCATTCTTTTTAAACACTATTGGATTCGATTTGCTACTATTTTGTTGAGGATTTTTGCATCTGTGTCCATGAGAGGTAACCACCCGTGGCTTCCTTTTCTTGTGATGTCTTTGTCTGGTCTTGTATCCGGGCCATGCTGGCCTCGTAGAGTGACTTAGGAAGCTTCTATCCTCTGGAAGAGATGGTAGGCAGTTGGTGTAATTTCTTCCTGAAAGTTTGGTGCACCAGTGAACCCATCTGGGGCTGGTGCTTTCTGCTTGGGGAGGTTATTAATTATTGATGGTTTCTTGGATCCATGTAGGTCTGTGGAGATTGTTTGTTCCTGTGTGAGTGTCTTTCAGGGAAGGGGTTCGTCCACCCCGTCGGGGTCACATCACATTTGCGGTCCAGCACTTGGTCAGAGAACGCCAGCTTTTGGTTCTGTTGATTTTCTTCATTGGTTTCTGCTTTTAGAATTCTTACTTCCTTTCTTCTGCTTACTTTGGATTTGCCTTTCTTTTTCTAGTTTCCTAAGGTGGTAAAGGAGAGTATCAACTTGTAGATCTTTCTGCGTGCCTCACGCAGGCACTCGATGCTGTGAGTCCCCTCCAGGCACTGCTTTCGCCACATCCTACGATTTTGGGTTAAGTTGTGTTTTCATTTTCAATTAGTTCAGAAAGTCTTTCGTTTCTTTTGAGATTTCTTCTTTGACTATTGTGCTATTTAGAAACGTGTTGTTTAATCTCCACGTGTTTGGGGATTTTTCCCGCTTACGTCTCTTTCATTGATTTCTGGTTTAACTCTATTGTGTTCTGAGAGCAGACATCGTAGGACTGGTGTTTTTTTAATTTGTTGCGGTGTTTTTCATGGCCCGGAACGTGGTCTGTCCTGGTGAGTGTGCCACAAGAGCTTGAGAAGGACTTGTATTCGGATGCCGTTGGACAGAGTCGTCTGCACATATCCGTCGTAGCCAGTGATGGGTGGTGCCGTTGTTAAGCCGCGTCCTCACTGGTTCTCTGCTGGCCGGGTCTGTCCATCTCTGACAGAGAGTGTGGAGGTCTCTAGACACAGTGTGGATTGACCTGCCTCACGTGGTTTGGCGCTCTGCTATTAGGCACGTACGTGCACAGGCTCGTTGGTCGCGTGGAGATCTGACCCTTTGTCATTAGGTAGCGTGTGGCCGCTCGGTCCCTTTTCATAAACAGGAATTGGTTTCGTGTTTGTTTATGGCGTGTTAATGGTGTTTTGCTGTTTTACAGAGGTCCTCAAAGCAGGCAGTGTCCTGTTCCCTGAGCTCCTGGCTAGAGAGATAGAGGCTGTCATCCACAAGCACCGCTCTCCTGCCCTCTGCCAGCAGCTGCTACAGCACCTGCAGGCCCAGCCGCCCGCCCAGTGAGCAGCAGCCAGCGCGGAGCGAGCCCCGAGCTCCCGTCCTCCCCTGGGCCGGGGCCGGGGCCTCTCCACCTCACAACACGGCACCTTTGTGTCAACGACCTAGGACACTCACAGGCAAGACTTTGATAGCAAGAGTATTGCAGGAAACGTGTGGTGTGCAAGATTCTCCCAAGACACTTCTCCGGCCCGGCAGTTTCTGAAGTAACATTCGCTGAGCGGCTTCCGTACTGTCATGTCTCATTTATTACAGTCCATTGACAGATCTCCCCAAAATCTGCGGGTAATTTGAAAGTAGAACGAGATGGCACCTGCTCACCCTGGCAGCCAAAGCATCCTGTTTGTTTCAAACCTACGTGCACCTGCTGCGTTCGTGGGTCAGTATCTATGTCTTGCGTAAATGCCCGCCTCACCGAGAAAGTTCTTGACTATTTTTCTTTCAAGCAAAAGTTATTAAAAAGAAATTTTGTTCTTTCTTTGTGTTGTGTCTACTAAAACTTAGCATCACAGTGAACAGTCTAAAAGGAATTTGAAATCTTTATCAGTTACAGTTTTCCGTGTAAAATATCCTGGAACTCGGAGTGTTAGTGGATACACTCGGTCATGATATTTTTTTCTTAAAGGGTCATTATGCAAACAGTGTTGAAAATACAATGTTTTATCAGATGTAATTTTGGTAGCTCTCTCATATAAGCAGCAGTAAAGTAAAATGGGGTTTTATTCTCTAGCACTTTCTACACCCAAGTGCCTAAAAAATTTTATTTTAAATGGATATTATTTCCGTAAGCCAAATATATATGTTACCAGGGAAAAAAATACTGTGTGTATTTTCTAACAATCAAATATGAACATTTATGCTTAGGTGTTTGAAAATTTAATTAAAAATATTTATTACAGTTATTTTGTATGCCTGTGTTAGTGTGCTTTAGTAGTTAATCAACATTTTTAGAAATCGCTTATTTTTCCCTTAGATCTCATCTCCCGGTGACCCCCGCCCCGAGACCTGGGTGGCGGGCCCCAGGCTCTCCCACTACTCGGTGCAGTGTCCTCTCTGGACACCAGGTGGCAGGAGCTCCAAACCCCATCACGAGGCCGGCCGCCAAGCTCGTGGGGCCCTCCGCGGGCGCGCCTGAGTGTGCGGCTCAGGCAGGGAAAGCGGGCCTGGAGAGGCAGCGGGATACAAACCACGCCGGCCGCCAGGGAGAGGCAGGACGTTGTTTCTGCACATCTTCAAGGGGAAGTGTGCAGAGGCAGCAGGACAGTGAGTCAGTACCACTCGTGTGACGTGAGCAGGTGTGTGTCCAGAGAAAGACACAAAGGCTCAGCTGACGGGGTTAGCGATCTAAGTGCCTGAGAACCGACGTGTCCTTGGCAAGTGTTATGCACTCTTCGCTCAACTCCTCAAATGTTCATGGAGCCCTACCCTCCCTGTGCTGGTGGCCGAGGACAGGGACACGTAGAATTTGGTCCCTGAGGGGTGTCTGGGGGTCTCAGCCAGTTAAGCGTCCAACTCTTGATTTCGGTTCAGGTCATGATCTCATAGTTTGTGGGATCAAGCCCCGCATTGGGCTCAGTGCTGACGGTGTAGAGCCTGCTTGGGATCCTCTGTCTCTCTTTCTCTCTCTGCCCCTCCCCTTTTAGCACTCTCCCTCTCTCTCTCAAAATAAATAAAAAACATTAAAAAAAAAACTGGTCCCTGAAAGTTTACAGCATTATTGAGATGTAATTTACGGAGCTGCGTGCCAACCACCGTGGCTGGTTCAGCACTGTATCGTGCGAGGGCCCCCGCCCACCCAAACCCGTGTGCAGCCGATCCCTGCCCACATTCCCAGCCCCAGCAAGCACCGAGCTGCTCTGTGTCTAAAGTGGTGTGTGTTCCGGATGCCTCATATACGTGGGACCATATGATAGGTGGTCTTAGGCGTCTGGCTTTTTTCACTTAGCATAGTTTTTGAGGTTATCTATTCACGCACTGGTTCGGGGATCGGCACCTCTTTCTGGAAAGGGCCAGAGGGTAAATATTTTAGGCTTTGTGGACCCAATTGTCCCAACTCTACTGTTTTCCATTCACCTGTTGATGGGCATTTAGGTTTGAGGCCATTATGAATAAAACCACTCTGAGCTCTGTGGTACGCGTAGATGATTCATGGCCATCGCTCTTGGGCGGGTACCTCTGAGTAGAATTACTAGGTCATATTTGATACGTGTTTGTAGCCCCAGTTGATTGATTTATTGGTATTTTTTACTGCTTCACTGAGGGATGCCTGACCTACGATTCACTGCACATACTTAAGTGGGCACTTTGAGAAATCCCGACACAGGCATACACGCACAGAACCACCACCACAGGCCAGACCGCCAACCTCCCCACCACCCGCAGGCATTCTCTCCCGCCCCTCTGCCCACCTCCAGGCAACTCTGATCTGCCGTGGTCACTGCCCCGCAGTCTGCACTCCGTGGGACTGTACGTAAGTGGACACAGTGTTTCTGGTTTCCCTTCCTCGCCCGTGTTCCCAAGGCATAACCAAGATGCACCCACGTTGTAGCGCCGGTGGGTGGCGGCTCGTTCCTTTCGTTGCTGAGCAGTAGTGTTCCGCCCTGTGTCTACACCACACCTGGTGGCCGTCACGGAGATGGCCTCTTGGGACACTGTGTGCACGTCGTCAAATGGACACGCCTCTCATCTCTCTGGGGCGGACACCCAGGAGGGGAGAACGTCCAGCCGGAGCGGCAGGACCACCTCATCCGCCCACCAGCACCACCGTCCTGCCGACACATGACACGGCAGCGTCTTTAACCGGAGCCACTCTAACGGGCGCGGTCTGCATTTCCCTAACGTCTAACGATGTGGAGCCCCTCCCACATGCTTGTCTGTCTGTCTGCATGTCTTCGCTGGTGAAATGTCTTAAAATCTCTTGCCCATTTTTTCAAAATGAGGTCTTCATATTGAATATGAGCTACTGTGGATACGAGAGCTTCGTCGCGTACGGCTTGCAAATATTACCGCTCATTCTGGAGCTTATTTTCATTTTCCTCCTTGGGCTTTTGTTTTTGAGTAACCTCCACATCCAGCGCGGGGCCCAGACTCACAACCCGAGACAGACAGTCGTGCGCGCCACCAACTGGGCCCGCCGGGCGCCCGTTTTCACCCTGCGACAACGTCTCTCGAAGAACAGAAACTAGTTTCGAAAGAGCGTATCAAGACGTTAATTTATTGTGTTTTTTGTACTCTTAAGAAATCTTCACTGAAACGCAAGTTTCACTTCTAAACTTTGAGAAGCTCAGAAAGTTCTTTACACAAAGATGATTGCCTGCCCCTACCTACAGCACCAATCAAAGGCAAGCTTCACTTGCTTTGAAAACCTCCTTTCTGTGGCCTCTATGAAAACACGGCATGTCTCTAGGGGCAGTTGGTGCAAGATAAAACATGTAGCCCCAGACATGCCCGTATAAAGTGCAGTAGTGACTAAACCACGCTGTATAGAATGAACCGTATGTAAGAGGAGAGAGCTAGCCTGTTTGCTCTCATGCGCATAAACTAGTTCTGGAAGGGCACAGAAGAAACTCGTGAGGGTGGTGGCCTCCGGGGAGGGCGCCTGTGTGACAGCTGCAGTGAGAGTTCTGTCTGTGCCCTTTGGTGTCTCTGAATTTACTTTCTTATAAAAATGTTTGTTGGTGTGTCTGGGTGGCTCAGTCGATTAAGCGTCCGACTTCAGCTCAGGTCATGATCTCGCAGTTAGGGAGGTTGAGCCCCCGTCGGGCTCTGTGCTGACAGCTCAGAGCCTGGAGCCTGCTTCGGATTCTGTCTCTCCCTCTCTGCCCTGCCCCTGCTTGCACTGTCTCTCTGTCTCTCAAGAATAAATAAATATTTTTTTTTAATGTCTGTTCACCTTGAGAGAGTGAGCTGCGGAGGGGCAGAGAGAGGGAGAATCCCAAGCAAGCTCCTTGCTGTCAGCACCGAGCCCAACGCAGGGCGTGATCTCTGGAACCATGAGGTCACGATCTGAGCAGAAATCAGGAGTCAAGACGCTTAACCGACTGAGCCACCCAGGCGCCCCCCACCCCCAGTTGTTTTTCAACCACTGAATCAACATGGTCATTTCAGGGACCGTTACCCTCTTGTCTCTACTCACACATGTGCAAACTTTGTGTGAACATTTCCATAATTGAAAGTGTTACAAACCTGAAAAACAATCATGGGACGATCTGGAAGGCACAGGCTCAGACTGGTGCCGAGGCCACCACTCCCCAGGGCGGGGGGTGGGGCGTCCCCTTTACTAGACTCACCGTTCCAGTCGCCTTACAATCAGGGTGGAAAATTAAGTTTTCTCTCAAGAAAAAGCTTTCTTCCTGACTTTTCTCCATCTTCCGGACTGTCTAAACAGCCAGGGTCATCCGGACATCCAGTCACTGCCTGTGTGATGTCAGACACGAGGGAAAAATGACTACGTGTTACTTAGGGTGGGCTACGGATTTTCAGAGGCCACGGGCAGTGCGGTCGTGGATGAGAACTGCTGTCCCAGAAGGGAGGCTGCAGCCTGGACTCTATTCCCCCAGCCCCTCCTTTGACCTGGGAGTGTCCTTGGCCTTGTCCCCAGGGTCTGAGCCTCCTTCCTGCGACTCTTCCTGGCTGGGGCAGGGAGGCCTGGGACCTGCTGCGAGGACAGCGGCCCTGGCTGATTTGTCCCCAGGCATCTGCGCGGGGTTTTCCGGTTTGGGACAGTGTAACTTGGAATCACGGCAGTGCCTGTTGCTGGCGGGCGAGAAAGATAACCATAGACAGAAGAACCTGTGAAGAAGTCTAAGTGTTCTCTCCCGGGCCTAACTGCCGGGCGCCTTTATCCTCTAGGACTTCGTTAGTTGACATTTTTGTCCTTCAGAATGTGAGTTGGCCGTTTTGGCTAAGATTGAGCGCAAAGAGGTGCAGCGACCACGGCAAACGTAAAACCGGGAAACGCTGAACGCAGGCAAACTGGCTTTGGTGTGCAACACTGGCAATGTTTCGGTCTACAAGCAACAAGATCAACTGTTCTGGGCTGTGTGCGCACGCAGGGGCGTCCTGGTTCTAGTGCGAGCACACCCACCAGTCCTGCCGCTTGCACACCGGCAGGTGACCAAGGCTGGGCAGGTCAACAACCTGCTGGAAACGGTCCTCCTGGGGAGGCTTCACTCGTCCTTGAGAAGGGGCCCTGGGCCTCCTGGTGGGATGACGGCCCTCGCCACTAACCCTCTCATCAAAGGGCTGTAACCTGCACATCTTCCCCTTATTCACGACGTGAAATTTATTTTTGAGAAACCACTGTGAACATTTCACACACGACTTGAAACCCCTGATAAAACACGTAGTGGCAAAACCACGATTAGGCACTACCAACTTGTATCGGACTCGCTCTAGGGCAAAACCCTATCCTCCCCCAGCTGCGTGGCCTGGGATGCCTCGGATCGGAGCCCAAGAGCCCACCGCCAGACATGGTGGAGGCGCCAGCGTCACCTAGCAGCCGGTGCCCACGCCCAACATGCAGGGCTGGGTGCAGCTGGGGGCAACTGGGGGCAGCCGGCGTTCCCGGCGCCCGGGGTTGCTGGGAGGGTCCCCGGCGCCCTCCCGCCCCGGCCCCCAGCTCCCCTAGCGCTCGCGCCCCTAGCACCCCCAGCACGCCCGGCGCCCGCCCCCACAGCCCCCGGGGCCCTGTCGCCTCCGAGTAGCCTGACAGGTGCCCCTGCTGTCGCTTAGAGCACGTGACCACCAGCCGACGACCCGGCGAGCACCGCCCCGCGCCTGCGGCAGCCGAGGCTCCGGAAGACAATGGCGCGGGCGCTTCTGCGCCGTCGCCCCCGATTGGCCGCGTCCGGGTCACGTGGCCGCGCCCCTCCTCTGGAGGGTGGAGGTCCGGGGTCCGAGC